AAGGTTATCCTCAAGGTAGTCACCTGCACGGTACTTGGTTTTGACAGCGCCAGGACGCGTGCTCCATCCGGCAGTCCCTTTCGGAACTTTGGCATACATACGGCGATTCTTCCATGCACCTGCTTTTTGCTTCTTCCAAGGTTCTATCTTTGATCTCCGAAGAGGACCATGGGGGGCTAGTTGTTGAATACGGGTGTTGTGCTTTTTCGGTGACCTTCAGCTGATGCGGCCTCGCGGCCATGAATCTCGTACAGACATGCTCACCCATGTGCTGATACTGCTATGATCGCTTTGCTGTCAGATTCTCTCGGCGGAAGCGCCAGGACGGGAAGATCCCCATTGTCATATTGAGCCATATTATTGTACATGGTAACGTTGCCCTGGAATCCTTCGTTCAAGCGCACGTGCACGAACCCCCAGCCTTTCAATACCACTGCTCCGATAAGACCTTCTTTGTACTTTTCCGATGTCCAATATCCCACATTTACTCCCTTCGGAACAGTGTCTCCGAGAGTCGGGTCAAGATTCCATTTGGGACGCTGCACTGACGAAAGGAGATCGGACGCGTCTTGCGATAGCCGGGTTATCCTGACCCAAAACCTGGCTTGTGGATGATGTGTTGCGCGGGATGCATGTGTGGGCCGCATGAGGCGTGCGTGCATGTGTGGAGCGGAGCTGTGCGGAACCAAGGTATTGACATATCCTAAAAGTAACGTATGATGTCGGCCTGTATACCGGACACAGGTGCACCGCCACAGGTGAGAGGGACTCTTTGCAGACATGGGCCGAAGGATTGAATAAACACGAGAGACCGACAAGGCTTTGGATAATGTATGGCTAAGGGGGCATGCGTCTCGTAACGAGGCAACACCTGACCGGTATGCGTAGAGGCCGGTTCATGCTCAGCATGTGCACCTCTCTCAGGACATCAGGTTGATGACTGCGATAGCAGTTTGCAACGCCCTCAGTCATCCAGCTCTCGTCCAAAGTCAATTAACCTCAACCTCCTCGCATCTTTCGGATGGAACTGCGCAATCTTCGCCCTGATCAAGAAACGTGAAGCAGCAGAGTCTCGCTCCAGTTGAAAGTATGCCTTTCCACCTCCTGGTCCCATCAGAGTAGCAAACAGATTCTCAATCAACTGTCGCATCTCTGCATCCGCAGCTTCAGCCTCAGTAGGCGGCTCTTCCTCCTCCTCTTCAGCATCGAGAGAAGCCTTTTTGCCCCAAATCTCATCGATCCTGCGCTGTCGCGTCTTGTCTGAGACTGGTTTCTTCGATGACTTTGCGCGTCCTTTCTTTGTGAAACCGGCAGCAAGAGTATCGTCCTCTATGTCAAGCATGTCGCCTACGACAGGGCCGCCGAGCTCTTCTGCTGCAAGCATGCTAGAGAGGTAGTCATTGATGAAGTTGTTCATAGCTTCTCCCAGACGCTGCATCTCCGCGTCGTAGTTCTCCTTCTTTGCGCGCTTTGCTGCGATGAGTTCTCGCGCAAGTTGAGCAGGAGTCTTCTGAGAGCGATCTTCATGCTGAGAGCGTAGCCGTCTGATGCGATTCTGCATTGCCTGAGTGAGAAGGTGGGCATCGTGTAAGTTGGCTTCTTCGCGACGAAGCGTGGCCTCTTTTGTGCCGAGTTGGCTCTGAGTGCTTGCAATGGCTTCCTTCGTTCCTTGGACATTCTGTTGAAGTGTGCGTGCTGCTAATAATGCAGGCAGAACTGATCCTTGGGCGGGGAGGTACGTTGCTGTTGGCTTCAACTGTTTGTACGCGTCTTTGACGGCTGCGAGCTGCTGAAGCTTCTGACGCGGATCTTCCGATGCATAGGCGGCCGTCTCTATATCAACATGTGACTGAGATCGCAACTTTTACTTTGTCAGTATCATCCTTTCTAGACGCGTCTTTATCGCGTTACCTTGTCAAGCGCTGCTTGTTGTTCTTTCACGCGTGCCTGCAGCTCTTTCACTGTCTGCTCCAGACGCGCCTCGGTGCTGGACGCGTCAAAGTCGACGACATCGTCCTGCAGGCCCCGAGCTCCTTCGACATACTCGCGTATCTTCCTGAGACTCTCACTCTGTAGTTGCGCCATTTCTCCGAGCGGCTGGCTGTGAGTTCAAGTGCGGTCCACCGATGTCGCTAACGGGCCAGTGGTGCCTGGCGAGCGAGGAGGGCTTCACCCCTTTCAACTGTGTACTCACTAAGGCTCCCGCTGCACCGCAAGGAACTCAACAGTCTCTCAGTCGCCGTGCTACCGGTATTTACAGACAAAGTCGTAGTACCACACGTGACGCGCCAAGACTTAGCGCCGATCTCCCCGCGATAGCTCCATTTTGCATCGTTTGCGCCTCCTCCCTCGCGACAAACGACCTGCTGTTATCAACCATCGCCCACAGTTCCTTCTCCATCGCGGCCCACCCCTTCTTCTAACATTGCTTTCTCGTTTGAGAAGGAAAGCGCGCAACCTCGAGCTCTCCGCACCTGAGACGCCGGACCGTTGCCGAGAAGGTTTGACGAGCGAGCTTTCTTTACTTGGGCCAGTTTCTTCCTCTGTCGACCTCACCTCGTCCCAAGAAACACACACCCTTTCCGACTCTCCCGCTCCATCACAAGCACCATCATACCCGATTCCTCGCTTCCCGAGGCCTCTCTCCTCCGACCACTGCACCCTCTGCACGCTCCAAACTCCTTCAAGCTCCCGGCGACCTTACCTCCTCGCACCTTCACCGTACTGTCGCGACTCCCTCCAGCCCGCCCTCACAGCACGCTTTCTTTCACGGCCCCCGCTGTACATAAAGTCGCAAATAATCGAGATCAATTGAACAAATCTCACCTTCCCGTTTGAACGCTCCTCGACTGTGAAGAGCGTGCATACCCGTTCCCAATTCAAGATCCACAACTCATAACAGAAAACATGTCCGCGTCACCCACCATCGCGGCTTCCTCGGCCAAGCGACCGCTCGAGGAACCCTCATCGCCTGCCGGACCCAATGACCAACCCGATGCCAAGCGTCCTGCTCTCGACAAGATGGTCAAGGAGGATGCGCCCAACCCAGACAACATCGACATCGCGCAACCAGTCCAGGCCGACGACATCGCCACGGAAGGCATCACACAAGAGGACGTAAAGGTGGTACCCGAAGTGGCTGAAGCTGCTGTCGAGAACGGTGCCCAGCCCATCCATACCGACACTGTTGTCCCAGACGCACCCTCTATCCTTGAGACTCAGCCTATCCAATCCACATCAGGTGCTAATGGTCGGCCTGTAAATCACAACCAGCAGGTGGACGAGACCAACTGGCTGCATGTGCGCGCTTGCATTGGCACCAGCGAGGCCGCTACCATCATTGGCAAGGGCGGAGAGAATGTGACTCAGATTCGTCGCTTGTCCGGCGCCAAGTGCACCGTTAGCGACTACTCTCGGGGCGCTGTTGAACGCATCCTTACTGTAAGCGGCCAAGTTGATGCTGTGTCCAAGGCATTCGGCCTCATTGTGCGCACCCTCAACCAGGAGGACCTCGAGACACCTTCTACATCCACCTCCAAGGCCTACCCTATGCGTCTTCTGATTCCTCACATCCTTATCGGTTCCATCATCGGAAAGGCTGGCGTTCGCATCCGCGAGATCCAAGAGGCTTCTAACGCTAAGTTGAACGCATCTGACACTCTCCTCCCCAACTCTGGCGAACGTTCGTTGATCGTACTGGGTGTTGCTGACGCTGTGCACATTGCTGTGTACTATGTTGCTCAGACCTTGGTCGAGCAGCTGACCGAGCGATTCGGTGGACCGGCTGCATCCCAATATGCAACCCGTAGTGGTATGGCTGCCAACGTCGTCCCAGGCGGCATGTCTGTTCAACCATACGTTCCCCAGCCCGCCGGAGGTCAGTACTCTCACCCACAGAACTTCCGTCGCCAAGAACCACCCCAGCGAACTCCTGCTCACGGAGGCTATGGTGCTCCGCACATGCAGCATGGACAGCCTCCACAGCAGTCGCCGTACGGTCACCCCAACATGCCTTACGGCGCTGGCTCGCCTAGCCGTGGTCCCTATGGTGGTCCTGCAGCGCCCACTCCTTACGGCGGTCACCCTGCTGCAGCGCCTGTTGCGCATGGCGGCGCCGCTCCACACGCAGCTGTTGGTGGCATGCCTGGCCAACCTCTTACCCAGCAGATTTTCATTCCCAACGACATGGTCGGTGCCATCATTGGCAAGGGCGGTGCGAAGATCAATGAAATCCGCCAGCTCAGTGGCAGTGTCATCAAGATCAACGAGCCCACCGACAACAGCAACGAGCGTCTTGTTACCATCACGGGTACACAAGAATGCAACCAAATGGCACTATACATGCTGTACTCGCGACTCGGTTAGTAGTGCATTCCATCACATAACACTCACAATGCTGACTATCTATGCAGAATCGGAGAAGCACCGTATCTAGTCGTAGGGTGCTATCGATCCAAAATCGCGACGACATGGTTTGTTGGCGGTCTGAGTCAAAGAACACAACACTGTAAGTCGGTCTACTGTCTTTGTGGGATGCATGTTATATTGGAGCACGGCGTAGCGGTATATTTAGTTGTCTCATGGTTTATTGGGTGTGTACTTTACGTGCTTTCTCCCCGACTGCTCTCGGCGAGAAAGAGCATCGCTTTGAGGGAACATGGCGATTACAGGGTTGAGGTGGCATGTGTCACTCCACGGGTCTTTCGCTGCCGATCTATATGATAGTAACATACCTGGTAATCTATCAAAAGCTTTCTGACTTCATCACTTTGTATGTGTGTTGAGTTGAGCATCTTTTTCGGCGATGAGCACAGACTCCTAAGTGGTGAGCGAGATGCAGAACCGGGTGTCAGAGTTATTCTCGTCTTATTGACTGGACTAAACACATCCAGCCTCCTGCCGTTGTTGTTTTCCCAAGAATCCGTAGTCGTGTCCTACGAATGAATAGCATCAATGTTTCTCCCACTACAGCGTCTATTCCTCAATCGACTCGTTCAATTTCATGTGGTTTCGAACCAACTCCTACCGTCATCGGTCATTATCTGCGGCTTAAGAGGACGACCACCTTGGAGGTTGCTAATGTTTGTCTGCCATTCGGCTGTGCGCTCAGCCCTGTAGAAGTCAGTAAAATGTCCGCTTGCGTTGTCTACGGTCAAGAGCTTACCTGATGTATGCGGTGTCGTGTTGGGAACCAAGAGCGACCTTCGTCTTTGTGTTTCCTGAATGTGCATCGGCTACCGCAGAGTACTGATCAAGAAAGGCGAGGCTATCACGGCCGCCGACACGCAACTTGAGCCTCTTCTTCACCTTTGGAGGCGATTCTAGCGAGTCAAGATAGAGGGCTAACTCGTCGTCACTTTCTTCGGCTGCACGCTTCTTAGCATTCTTGCCCTCATCGTGACCCCTATTATCGTCATCGGGAAGGGGACGCTGGGCGATGAGATTGACCGACAGATCGAGGAGGAAGTCTTTCGGCAGGTTCTCCGTCGTCCAGTGTTCAATGCGCTCTTTACTTGCACGTTGGGAGAAGATGTCAACCATTAAACGACGCGCGGGACTCGACTCGGGTGTACCGTCGTAGATGGTACGTACTGCAGATGGCTCCGGGAGAGAGTGGCCGAATTGAGGGCTCTCGCATCGTTTCCGAATGGCTGCCAGGATAGATTTCTTAGTGGAGTCGTCCATGAGCATCTCGGCGAGGACGTAGAGCTCGCTCATGGGCTGGAATGACCACGGCTGGCCTTGGAAGGATAGCTTGGTGCCATTCTATGAACTCTTCGTTAGCCAAGATATGGATACGCTGATCGTGTGAGCATGCGTACATAGAGTGTGTCCAGATACCAAGCAAATATCCTAGGGTTCTCTTCTTTCAGAGTGACCTCGAGAGTCTGTGCTGAATTCCATCCCCCTCTTAAAGCATTCCGGAAGAACTTGCTACAATAACAGATGCGGTACGGGTCCACGAAGAACTTTTTTAGATTTGGTTCTTGGCCGACAACGACACAGACAGTATCGTCATCCGAAAACTGTGAAAGAGCGTCATTATCCGACTCTGAGGACTTTTGGAGAAGAGCATCGTCAGGCTCAGGGTCGACGTCGCATTCGTCGGACGCAGAGTCGTAGTAGGTTCTTTCCTTAACATACCTAGCGCGCAGACGCATTGTAGGGTTGAAGCACAGAAGATTGCTTTGTAATTTGTGTTCGGAGACGAGCGGTTTGAGGTGCAACGTTTGGGGAGTGTGGAACTGGGAGAGAGAAGAAAAGGGCAATTTGTACGGACGTTCCCCCTCGCACAGTCGCTACACTAGACCCGATAGTACGGAAGTAGGGAAAAGGGAAGTTCTGGCTCCTTGCGGTTTTCACTGAGTCGCCCTGCATCGCCAGCGGGGCTAGGCACCTTTGACAACCTTTTTGACTACTGCATTGAAGTATGTCTCCATCATATGGCAGCAAAGACAACCATTTAGTGCTTCCGACATCTCAGCGCCAGCGCTGTCCTCTTCTGTAGTATAGTCAGCGTAACTTCCCTCTACACATTGTACACAATCGTGCTTTAGACTTATTCAGTAAACCATCATACACCTAGCCAAGCGCAAGTCATATCCCAGTGACATGTCTAAGAGAGGCACATATTGCCTACAACCCCAGGCTCTTGAGTCGAAGATGACCAACATTCGTGACCAGATCTAGCTGCTTCTACATCAGTAGTCACACATGAGTCTCATGCAGAAAGGTGTGCGCGTTGTAAGCTAGTTGCTCTTGAAACCTGTATGATGACATTTTACACTTGCTATGCCGCAGCGTGAACACCTACCACGCTTATCTATGCTGCAATCAGCGCACCCCCTTTCGAATATCACGCCCCTACGCCATACCGTTGACATTCTAAACACCCCTTCCTGCTTCGAAGACACACTCCGCCTAGGTAGTGGCAGGCGCAGGTGCGGTGGCAGGGTCGGTGCCGACAGGCGCAGCTGGTGCAGTACCCGCAACGCCCTCGGTAGGTGCAGGAAGAGCCGTGTTGTCAATCGCATCGTCGCTCTTCTTGGCCCACTTGGGTTCCTTTGCCCACTGTGCATCCCACCATGGGCCTGCATCGCTCAATTGGCAGCCCTTCTCGCACTCGCATGATCCACCGAATGCCTTGGGCAGGTTCTCGGCTGGGACCTGCGCCAGCAACTCCTTCTGGTATCCGCTGCCGAGAACGTGGATCTTGGCGCTTGTGACGGGGTCGAGGAACTTCTTGACCACGCTGAAGACACCCGAGAAACCCCAGGGGGCGTTGATGATGTACATCTTGCCCAGACGCTCGGGGTAGTAGTTTTGACTGATCTGCGAGACGGCGCCGAGGTAGCCGTACACGGAGGTAGCCTTGCCAATACCAACGCCCTTCAGGTCCATGATTGTGCAAGATGTCTCGAGGAGGTAGCCCGACTTGCGGGAGCAGGCAGGAAGACGGGGGTCGGCCATCTTTTCGTATTCGCAGACAAGGTTCTGGATCATGCGCTCCTGGGAGGTGATCTTTCCGAGCGCGGTGAGGTCGACGTTGCCGAGCTGCTCGATGTAGAGTGGGCGGCCATCCTAGTGTTGCGTCAGAGGTTTTGTTGGTCAGATCTGGGCTGAGCTCTCAGCCCAAGTAGAAGCCACGTACCTTGTCCGTCTTGTGGTAGTACTGGGGGTAGAATTTGAAGACCTCGGGTCGCTCCTTGTAGTCAAAGGTGCGGACGAGCTCCTCAACGCCGACGCCAGCATACTCGGCCCTCCACTTCTCGCAGTCAACGAACCTGGTGACTGTCAGCATACATTCCAGCCATTCTTCTACAGTGCCCCCATGCGGCATGTACGTACATCTGTTTCGCAAGCTCGACATTGAACTTTCGCGCGCGGAGGAACCGCAGCTGTAGATTGTTTAGCTTGAGGCCTTTGCACTCGCAAGAGAAGCGGTGAGCATACCAGAGTCAGGGTGTCGAGGTTCTTGGTGTGGCCGGACTGCTCCAGCTGGGTTCTCAGCTGGAAGACCTGGGCATCTTGCTCTGGAGTTGTGTGGCCTGGGTGTCCTGGTTGGGCGGTGGGAGCGACGGTGGGAAAGTCGTAGTGGTCGTACTTGGGGTCGAGCTTTAGCTCGCTCGTCGCAGCAGCAGCCATTGTGTCTAGAGTGTACGAGAAGAGAGGTGGCTCGAGATGTACAGGGAGGAGGAAGGTAATTGCGAGTTGCGCGGCCTGGACGAAGTTGTCGAGGAGCGCACGTCGATGTCAACTAAGTGGGTCCCTGCCGCGGCGGTCAAGCGAGACCCCTTCCCCTCATCCTCCTCGACGGCTCATTCCAGCGAATTGTGGCCGTTGACGCTGCCCCATGACGCATCTATGGTCCGAATGCCATGTTCACGCAGCGTTCCTCACGCAACCACGTTACACCACAAGTGCATCGAGGACATGTTGAACGGTAAAACCGTAGTCAGACCTGCTGGAGTGCAGGCGACGAGGCTTTTTTGAAGGAGCTACCTAGTTGATACATTGCAGAAAAGATGAACGCAAGACGAACCCAGAAAATAGATCAAACATCCCATGCCGACAAACACCAGCCACAGAAAGCCAAACGCTTCGCATGTTGAAAAAGAGAGTAGTGGTCCTTCCATCGTCAGGCTACCAAGGAAAACATGTTCCAGACACTAACAACAAACATGATGCGAGATTCTGCACTAACCGCTGGCATTGCTCATACCTCCCAAGTGATCAGACCGCGCACCGTCTATCGAGCGATTCACCCCGTTATCAAACCTAAATCTCCATCGTGAAGCCCGCAAAGGACGCGAGCGAACCGTAGCAACCGAACACCGAGCAAATGACGCCTGAAAACGACGGAGATTGCTGCACCAGAAAGCGTATTGACATGCCCGGAGGCCAAACGACGTCAAGCCGATCAATTCCTTCGATCGCGGCTTGGTCCAAAGTCGACTTCGGACACCTTCTTCGCCTCTTTGCGATTCTTCACAATGTATTGCGCGTACAGGGCCACGTGGTCACTGGGGAAGTGGTAGTTGGGGAAACCCGGTACCCGCTGGAGATAGTTCTTGTCAATCTCGCCAAGCAGACCTACCACCTGCAGTGTGTTTGTCGAGTACCAGATGTAGTCCAGGACTCCTTGGAAGTGAGGTACGTAGTTCGTGAACGCCAACTCGCCGATAGATGCGTAGCTGGACTTGAGACTGAATGGATGGGATATACCGTCTCGTGTGAAGTTACCATACTTGCGGCTTCCCAGATCCACGTGAGCATTCGAAACGTTGCCATGTGTGATGAGATCGTAGACACCAGAGGATGGCAGCGAGTTGAAGTCACCGCATAGCAACACGGGGATATCGGAAGGATCAGAGTATTCCTTGGAAGGTCCGGGCTCCTGTGTCGGGTCGGGTTCGGCTCCTTCTTCGCTATCGCCATTCGTGAACTGGTACACCACCTTGTTCTTGCAGGCCGGGTGCTTAGTCCATTGAGTTGCAAGCTTGGTGATACCCTCCATCAGGATGGCGACTTGCACAAGCTTGACATCCTGGAACGCAGGGTTCCAGAAGACGTGTACGTTTCCGACGATGAACCTGGAACCTGTAGCACGGTTTTCGAGGAAAGCAACAACGCCAATATCGTCTCTGGGCATGACTCGATTGAATATATCGTGTTCGCCCTTCATATCTGGACGGTTGATGGCTGTATTGGCAAAGTCGATGAGCTGCTTGTCCAGCAAGATGTACCTGGGCTGATTAGTGGGGTTCCGCAAGACGAAACGGATAACAACTTACTTGCTGTTCTTGTAGAAGATGGCACACCCATCGACCAGCTTTGCTTCCCTTTCTGCCATGGTACGCGCTCGTGATTTCGGCCAGAATACTCCCTTGTAGTCGTTGTGCGCCAGCTCTGCTCGGAAGAACTCGTTGAAACTATCTTGATCGATTTCTTGCAGACACACTATGTCTGCGTCGCGCTCCCGCAGTTCAGCAAGAATGAGCTCCCTGCGACTCTCCCAGGCCAATGCTGAACTCGGTGTGTATCCGTACTGTGATTGCGTACAGTATTTGTCGCACAAGATGTTGTAGCTGAGCGCGCTCACAGTCTCTTGTGCCGTGTCTTGAACCTCATCGAGGACAATCCAGTCTCGCTCTGGTGGCGCCTCTGGACCGGGTGCGTTCTCGCGGAAGTGCTTGATAAGTTCCGTGGTGCCTTGTTCCATTATGATCTGTTTCAGGTCGTCCGGAATAGGGTTGCCCTCGATACCTAGCATTTCCAGTTGATACAAGGATCCTAGTTCGTATGGAAGATTCTCGATGTGGTTGTCGAACAGGAGCAGCTGCTTCAGGTTCACTAGCATGCCAATCTCCGGGGGTAGGTATTGCAGATTGTTCAGGGAGAGATCGAGATGAGTGAGGTTCCGCAGCTGTCCAATCTTCTGGTGCACGTAGGTGAGCTTGTTGGAGTTGAGGTAAAGCTTGGTCAGGAAAGTGTAGGCAAACAAGGCTGGCGTGATGACTTTGAGATTCTGGCCGCCGAAATCGAGAATTGTCCAAATGTGTTGATCCTTGGCATCCTCCACCCGCTGAGCAGCAGGCCTATTGCGCTCTTCTTTGTCCGTCTCTTTTTGCATCCCGTTTGATGTTCCCGCTACGATGCTCTTACTAACGCTCGGGTGGATTCGAGCGTGTGAGTGGGCCTGCGTCATTTCACGCGCGGTCTGGTGCAGCTTCAATTGCTCTTGCCAGTGCTCGGTTGGTGGTTTGCTGAGTCCACTGTGAACGCTGTTTGGTGTGCCGTTCTGGAGATGGCCCGGCGTAAAGTGGGGCTGCACGTTGGACATACCCCCACTCGAGATGTTGTGCTGGTGGTTGAATTGGCCGACATGATTGTTTCCGGAGATGTCCTGGTGCTGCTGGTGATGTTGATGCTGGTTCTGGTGGTGCTGGTTGTGTTGGAAGGGCTTCCCCAGGTTCATATGCTGCATGAAGTTCTGCTGCCCTGCTCGCCCGTTCATCATAACGTTGTGGCCCTGGTGCCCATGGGCCTGGTTGAACATGCCGAACTGCTGGGGAGACGACTGGCGCCCAGGAGACCGTGACGGCGAGGGGGTGTCGGGGTTGGGGAAGGGTATGCGGGCGGTAGACGTGGGTGAGCGCACTCGGCTGGGGAGGTTGCGTATGTTTTGTGTGTGTTGCGGATAGAAGGTATTGCCGGTTCCCCTGGGGTAGACCGAGTACTCGGCCATCTAAGGGAATCGCGGCGGAAGATATCTGGGGTCGCGCAGGCGGCCTTTGTGTTGGGGGTGAAAGGCGCGGAATGCTCTGGCGAGTCGGGGCGTCAGGTAGGAGGAAGGGTTCGGGCACGCGATCTTCTTCGTTTTAACATGGGCGCCCGGGCGACTCCTCGACATGAGCACGCGTTCAGCAAACGCGGCACCAGTATACCATGTGTTGATATCCCGGCGGTTCGCGAGTGAAGGTGGTGGTAGAGCGGGGACTCGGTAGCGAGCGAGGGCGGAGGGGTTGCGGGCGTCGAGGCGTGCTGGAGATAAAGGGCTGGGGCGCGGGCTCGTATTGATATCCTGGCGGGCTACTGGTATGGAGCAGTCAGTTGGTGCGGCGGGGAATCGAAGAGGTTGGACGGGGAGCTCGAGCGGGCAGCAGAAGCGTGTGGAAGCGGCGCACGTACGGCAGCTGAGGATGTCAAAGGGCGCGCAGGAGGGCAATCGGGCTCAATCGTGCCAGACGGACTGTCAGCGGGTCCAACTGCAGCGCTGTGAAGAATAGAGAGCGTAGTGATGCGATGATACGTGAAGCCCAGTCGAACCTTGCCCGATGCATTGGGGTCCGCCGCTTAGCGGGCCACGTGACATGGAAGCGTCGATCCAAGCTGAACGCCATGAAACTGCCCATCTGTTCTCTCGCGACGGGGCCTGTGCCCGCGTTGGCTGGGTGTTCATCAGAGTAGTCCTTGTGTTCTTCCTTTTGACGTGCATGGCAACTATCCAACAAGTGTATAGGATTGGCCATGGTACCTAGGTACACACCCTCTCCGCGGGCATTCGACGTGCATTTATCCCTCCTCTGCTTGTGCTCTTGTTCACGTATGTGTTTCATCCATGGAACGGCTACAGATTACGCAGTACCCTCGCCCTTGATCCTCGTTTCCGCCGTGCACTGCATATCCTCGTGAGCTTGTCGCTGCTAGACTCGGGCTTTCCCCACGCTGGAATATCACCTGCAGCACGTCTTCGGCTCATGCCGCGCTCCTGCAGACGGGCGCCACATCGCCAGAAGCTGCTCGTTCGCGGCGCTCGCACTGCCCAGCGATGTATCGCCATAGAGAACCTGGGGATTCACACAGCCGCAGCCGTTGATTGGAGATGTGTCCTCGGCTGGCCTCGCAGCTCCTCACCTGAGCTGCCTCCCACACCCGGAGCTGTGCCGAAACTTGCATTCACATACAAGGCGTGCTGGCACCATCCTCTGATCTGATCTCTCTCCAGTCGAGCTCTGCTTCCTTGTCGCATCCGCTCCGCCGTCCCGCTCATTAATTGCTGACTCGCCTACACGTGCTTATCAGACGACTAAAGACCGGCCCAATATCGCCTTCCCGCTAAAACAGTGGGGCTAGGGTAGGAGTAGACTGGACAACCTCGAGCACGTTTCCAGGTCGTCTCCATGGGCGATTGGCAGTTGGCAAGAACACTGTGCTTGCTCTACGTGTGAACCTCTCTGGCTAATCCCCTCCTCAGTACCGCTACTACGGCGCCAACGCCACCGCCAGCCCTCCCATACGCCCCAAGACCGTCGAAGCAAAGCAATGGGATCTGACCACCACGGACGCTCTCGGTAGAACCATCTCTGCGTCTTCGACTTCTGCCTCAACAGGCGCGCGCACCCTCTCAGGCCACAACATGGACATAACGCGCGGCTCCATGTCCAGCAGCTCCACCCAGAGTACCAGAGACGACACGGGCGTCCCTTCTACCGAACCTTTCATTCTGCGCCATGGCCGCCGATACATTCGAAGCGCGCAGAGCTACCCCCTCCCGTGCGACCTGCCCGAGCTCCACCGCCAGAACCTACATACCCTCCTTGCGACAGCTGTCTTCGGCAAAGCCATGGGCTCCACCCCCTCATACCCACCGAAGAAAGTGCTGGAGGTTGCGTGTGGCTCCGGATACTGGTCGGCTGTGTGCCATGAATGGCTGAGTGGTAGGTATACCCCGCACCTTCTGTACGGTTCAGGGCTGACCGTAAACAGAACAGGGTTACGATGATGTTTCCTTTACCGGTCTAGACATTGTCAATCTGGCTGGAGATTTGCAGCGCCAGGGCATCGACTGGAAGTTCGTGCAGCATGATCTGCGCAAGTTGCCGCTGCCGTTCGATGATGAGGAGTTCGATGTCGTCGTGATGAAGGACCTGAGTATGGTGATACCTGATGGGCAGCCCTCGCAGAGGACACTCGATGAATGCACTCGGATCCTAAAGTCTGGGGGCACGTTGGAAATATGGGACACAGACCACATTATCCGATCGATCCTCCCGCATCCACCACCACCACCAGGCAAGAATCCTCAAGAGTACGCGTGCGCTGTCTCAACTGGGACGTTCCTCATTTCGCACACCACACCCTTTACCGATGTGCAGAACAAATATCTCCAAGACTCCAACTCGTGGATCCAAGAAGCGCTGGACCGACGCAAGCTCACGGCAACTCCTTGCTCTCGTATATCGCAAATCCTGCTTCAAGAGCCGGACACTCTATGCGAGGTGGAAAACCGGCGGGTAGCGATTCTTCTCGGTGAACCACGGTGGGAGCGCGAAGCTGCGGGCGAGACGATAAAGCGGCGTGGAAGCGAGGCGGGGAAGCTCAAGAAGGGAAGCGCAACCCTGGAGAGCTCCATTCTGACCAAGGAGCAGGCAGCGCTGAGACACACGGCATTGCTTGTCGTCATACAGTTGATTGAAAGTCTCGAGCCTCTACTCAAAGAAGTCAGCGGAAAGAACCAAGAGGAATGGCAGCGTTATTGGAACTCCATGATCAACGACCTGCTTGAGCAGAAAGGTGCCTCGAGCGGTGAGTGTCTCGAGCTCGGCATATGGTGGGCCAAGAAGGCGTAAAGTTCAAGTGGCGTACCTTGTTATTTGTGATATCCCGGTCTACGCAAGGCCATGGTCGGCGAAATGTCAGTTATCGTATTATACCAGCTAGGCGAGTTTGTCGTAGCGCTGGCGCAAGGTGCGATAGCGCTTTAGATAGTATCTGGATGTAGTTAGGAATGATTTCAATCTTGCTTTTGCAGCTGCTGCAAACGGACAGTGCTTCAATCTCTATAAGATGTTAGCATGATACATTTGATGCCTGGTATGGCGTGACTTGCCTTTCTTCACGTACTCCGCCCTCTCGATGCCCTGCTTGATCTTGGCCTCGTCCGTCAAATTCTTTTGGCTCGCAAATGCCTTGTGTAGGCGTGTCCTGAAGTAATCATAGCCCTGGGGATATTCCCGTCCCATGAAAAGCAAATCTATTCATCTCGTTAGTCCATGGAGTTTGCTACGAGCCGAGGGAAAAGACCATGCTACGCACCCTTGTAGATCCGGATGACCTGGTGGCGAAGCGCGGGATTCGGGGGTGTCATTTTCAATAAGGAAGAAAACGTTGTATAGGTCCGAAGAAGTCGATGCTAGAAAGCTGTCAAACGTCAATCGCGTGTGTACGAGCAGGGTGCGGAGTAGTTGTAGCAAACGCTCGGGCCCGCGTCCTGACGTAGCGGCTGGCGGACTTGTGGATGGAAATGGATGTGGAGGTAGCGGATCCTCGGCTTGTCTTCCGTATCCTCGGAAGGAACGCCCTAGCTCTTGCTGCAATCGTTCGTGAACACCACCGCGCTGTCTTCCCATTGGACTCCGTATTTCACGATAATGAATACTATGCGACCCTTGGTGCGCTCAGCGCTTTTTCGTTCTAGACCTGCATGGCCAGCTCTTCCGGTAGTGCAGAGAATCTCTCGCACGCGGTATCAGTCTACTTCAAGCGGTACGTAAATTGGGTGTCGATTCTTTAATGTTGTTAGTGTGCGCAGCACGCATCTATGTGATCGGTTGTTAGGTATGTTGTCACTAGTAAGGTATCTCAAGCCAGTCATTACACAATTGTTCAAACATCTACCGTTACACTTTTGACGATGAAGAGCTGGAGCATCACGGAATATCAATAGCTAACTCACATCTGACAGCACCTGCAACTGCAGCGCTCAGTCCAAGATGGCTCTCGGACGTTCGAACACGCATCGGCAAGTGTATTAGTTTCGGAATGAACCCTGCACAGATTGAGGAAGCTGGTTTGATATTACAGGAGACTGCAGTAGACTGTGAGTTATGACAAAAGTGGTTCGTCATGATGCAGAACCAACTCCTTATGTGTCTTACAGGGCGAGAACTTGTAGCTGGTAGCGAGGGGTTTCTCACAGGCAGGCAATGGCGAGGTCTCTACCGGCAAGAGGTGGTATGGGGTGAAATGGTTAGCATCCTGTCTAACGAACTTGTGTATAATCGCTGATATGAGCCCGATCGTGTGCAGGACAGCATGGTAGGATGGCTCCAATACGTGTATATTGATAACTGCTGACTGATGTGAAGGGTACTTACTTCTCTACTCGAGCCTTGGAGATCCAAACCTAACATCTCGCAGGTCATGTCAATAATGTCATGTACAATCGCTATGCTGAGTCGGCGAGAGTCAACTGGACGTTGAACTTTGCGGCGAGCGACCCACAACACAAAGCCGAGTGGATGGAGCTCATGACACCGAAGAGCGTTGGCTTGATATTGCGAAGCATCAAAACAGACTACAAGTTTGTAAGTTGCGCGCGCTACCGGTCCAGCTGAAGGCTGGCCGAACTCTTGAAACATCACTGATGGAGAACTAGCCCATGAAATGGCCTGATAGGTGCGACCACGAACGCAAACTACAAGATGCAGGGCTCAATGTTTTAACACATACATCATCAGGGTGACCGTACTGCACAAGCTTCGAGACAAACCGACACAAGACACCGATCACTTCATCTTGGACGTACTAGTCCTCTCAGAGGCCCAGCGTCGACCAGCAGCGCGATGCACCGAAGACATTGTCGTGTACGACTATCGAACAGCGAAGAAGTCTCCATTGCCGTCTTTTATGATCCAGAAGTTCCAAGAGACATTCAATCTACAAGAACAAGCGAAAGAGAAGAACAGCATTAGGGTCAGAGGGCTATTGGATCGAGTTAGGGAATTAGAGAAGGGTAGTTGGGATAGACCGGATGCTAAAGAAGACTTTGGTAGCGCGGCTCAGTAGAACATGGTGATACTTGCAAGAAAACGCCTCATCAGACCCTGGATCTCTGCGGTTCGCATTCGCAAACGGTGCCTTGATTTCTCGTTCATCCTGCTCCGTGAAAGCTTCGCTAGTGCGACGTCTTTGAACAAGACTAGCAAATAGTCACGTCTGTAGCGGCGGTAGAGTAGGATTTACTAGCGGTGTTACATAGGTATCGTCATATCCGTCATCATATACCCCTGCAGCGGCATGGACAGACAACACGCGGGGTTGATCGCGTGTCCGAGGTCGGCGCATGGCAGTCAAACCAGTTGTATAGATGCAAGCGATGGGAAAATGGCAAACTGCCGCATGAACCCACTGCATGGCGTGATTCTCATCACAATGATGTACATGAAGTGGGATGTTCTGATGCCTATTGCAGCGATCTGCACGCCCGTTGCGCGCGTGATGTTCCGGCTTGCCTTATTTGCAAGTCGAACGGGCTGCTATTGGCGTGGTTGGGTTAAGCTTCACGCCGGCACACTGCAGAGGGCGGAAGAGGGTCATGGATGTGCAGGCGGAAGGCTTGCGCGCTATGCTCGCCTCGAGGGAACACAGATAGATAAAAATGCTCCGAACAATTTGGGATGCTGACAGTGCACCGCTTGACCCGGTATAGCAATGCTCAGTAAGGTGTGGCGTAACACGTCGCATGAGCATTGCTGTGCAGCCGCTGTAAAGATTCATGCATCGAAGGGGCAGGCACGCTCTATCCGCGTACCTAGGAAGCAGACAATGGGTGACGGCGGCGTGAGTAATAGCGTCGGCGGGGTTTGCCCGCTGCAGAGACTTCAGGCATGCGGTGAACAGACAAAGCGCGGGTTCATTCGCCCTGGAGCTTGCTATGGCTCAGGGGGGTCCTGGTGCACGCAAATGAGCAGGTAAGCTAAAGAAGCCGGCGCAGGCTAATTGGCTGCCTTGGAAGACGTGTTTGTCTGGCGATGCAGCTGTGCGATATGGCAGAGGCAGCAGACGGCGGGACTATGTAGAGGAGGGCGAGACGAGGTGCCAGACAGGCAAGATCACTGCCGGAGAGGGACAGGCGATACTTGGCTTCCCCGGTAGAGTGAAATGACGGCTCTGTTGTCGTGGTCAAGATCGGCATCATGAACTGGAATCGGACACAGCTCGGCTGATCTGCGTGGCAGCAGCATCAAGATATGCTGCCCGCGTGGTTGTGATGATGGCGGTACAAGCCGGACACATGGAATTTTGCCGCGGATAGGCAGCGTGTCGAGGGAGTCGTGATTGCATGTGCAGGGCGGTCGTGGTGAACCACGGGTCGGCAGCGCTGAGACGTGGAACCTCGGAGTCGACAGGCAAATCAGCCGTCAGGTGCATCGTGGCTTGTCAGTGCTCTGGTCACAGCGTGGCCCACTCGCGCAGAGGCTTGGGCGGTCGGGTTTTCTTGGTTGACTTTGCATTTGACGTTTAGCACTTGCAAGTCTTGGCACGAGCCCATCCGGCGGAAGGCACGACTGAGCAGGCGCAGGGCACCTTCCTCGCTCCCTACACGTCCTGCCCAGCACACGACACCCCCCCAGACTCCCCCACCGAGCAGCGGCTCAACATCTTCCAGTCCTGGCTCGTCCTGTGCAGCAGTCGAGTCGCGCCAGGGAGAGGTTTGCCCGCTCGCACCCGCACCGCCGTCTATGGTAGCGAAGTCGAAGAGGAACGCGGCGCACGACAAGCGACACGAGAATGGCCTTGCGGCCCCCGGCAAGAAAATCACAAAGCAGAAGAGCATCCCGCAGCTCAATGGCCACGCCAACGGGAAGCCCAGCGAGCCCTCGCCGCCGCTGCCCAGCCATGTAGACACGACCGAGATGACGCAGCACGCCAGCGCCCACGATCCAGCTCCGGGGTCGAGCGCCCACGCCAACACCATGGCCGCTGCTGCGTCGGCGGGATCAGGGCACCGCACGCGCGCTGGCTCGGATGCCTCGCTCGACAACACCCCCGAGGCCTGCCGCTCGTACGACAATGGCAGCGCCGGCGGGCCCTTTGATCCCATGCCCTCGACTCTCCGCCGCGCCGACACCAATGCCTCCAAGTCGGCGTCTATCTCCATGGCCAGCATGCTCGCCGTGCCCGCCACCATTCTCACGTCCTGTCCGCTGCGGGACGTCCTCGCCATCCTCATCATCCTGCTCCAGCTGCCCCCCACCGTCCTCACCGTCGTCCAGTTCCTGTTCGCAACGCTTACTTTTGTCCCGCCCCAGGCCGGCACGCCCCTCTCCGCCCTCTCCGCCTTCCCCTCCTTCACCGACATCTTCCAGGGCTCCGGCGGCACGCCCTCGCTCTTCACCACAATCATCGCCGACACCGTCATCCTGCTCGTATGGCTGCTGCTGTGGGTGCCTGCCCAGAATTTCTTCCTCGACCTCGCACAGGCCGTCATAGCCATAGCGCTCGGCGGTGCCGCAGCCGGCAAGAAGGGCACGACCAACAGCATTGTCATATGCTTCGTCATCATTCTTTCGAGCCACGTCTTCAGATTCAGGCCTCTCCGGCAACACATCGTCCACTTCCTGTGGACGGGGCTCGCCCGGGGAGGCCTTGAATTCTTGACGAGCCCCCCGAGTACGCCGACCTATTTGGAAAGCTTCTCGACCCCCCATGGATGGCCTCGTAGCCTCCTGGGCATTCATATTTTGGCCCAAGGTGTCGTTCGTATCATCCGACGCTCTCTCTCTCGACGAGAACAATCAACCTTACCCACCGGCAAGAAGACAGATCCAGAGTCTGGCACGCTGCAACGCTCCAACTCCACGAACCTCGATCCCACTGCCGACGTGCCCAACTCCTCGAGCACCGATGGCCGCCCCCCGGGGCCGTCGCCTGCAGCACACGCAATCAAGGATAAAGCGAGTAGTGGGAGGAGGAAGAGGAAGCAAGCTACTCATGTTCGTAGTCAGCAGCCATTCTGGGCTGCACTTGCCAGTACAAAAGTTACAGTTTTAAAAGAGATGGAGAGTAGCCGGGCGGCCAACGATGCCGACGAGGCTAACGCAAAAGACGCAAATCACATTGGAAACGCTGTTTGGAGATCGGAGGACGATCGTGTTTGGATTTCAGAAGTCGGCTTTTCCGACATTTCATTTCGTGTTAGTTTATCTGGTGGAGCTGGCCTTCAAGAGCAGGACGACGAAGATTCCAGCGTCGGGTCTGGGATAGACAAGTCGAAGCCCTTCTACATCCGCGTCAACGGCGCGGACTGGAGCTCAACCCGCATCCGACAGAGCGAGCCGATCGGATTCCAGGGACAAGAGGGAACGGGCTACTGGGTAGGAGAAATATTTGGTCTAACGGCTCTCTCGAACTATTATTGCGAGTTTGTTCGGACCAACGACAACCAAGTCTTCTACTCAGCGAGTCTTATTACCTCGGCCAGCCCGGTAACCGAACTTGGTAAGCAGAACATCTTGTGTAGCCTTACCTTGCTAATGCGTGACAGCTTCAGCTTCTATTGCCTCCCCGCCAGCCCATCAGACCCTACGACCTTCTTCGCCAACAACCACGTTGAAGAACTCTATTGCCGCAGCCGACCAGCAACTACAGGAACAGCGCAATCGATTGAAGCGAAACAAGAAAGACCACAAGACAGCCATTACCAACATCAAGAAAGAGGTAGACACGCTCGGCAACCGCCTTGCCAACGCCGGAGGTAGTGATGAGCGCCAACGCCAGCGCGTCCTTCAATTCACGCAGAACATCCGCCAAGCTGACGATGCTGCCGCCGAGTTTTCCCTTCAAGCAGAAAATCTGGGAAGCATTCCCGAAGATGAGGCGAAGGAGGCTGCAGCCAAGAAGGCAGAGTGGAAGAAGGAGCGTGACAACAAGAATGCTGTTGCTTGTGAATTCGACAAGACCAAGGAGGAGATCGAGCGACAAGTGCAAAGTGTGGAGTCCGATATTTCTACTGCCTTCCAGAAGAGGGAGCGCCTTCAGCAGCGTCAAACCAGGCTCAACGAGCAGCACGATCGTCTCGTTACTGCCAACGCTGAAGGTTTCACCGCCAAGCAACGAAGGGAGCAAGAACGCGCAGCATTACGAGCACAGCGCGCTGAAGTCGAGCACCAGTATCGGAGCAACATCAATGGTTACGAAAGACGCACTGAGGAGCAGAACATGTCAACCAGCCAAATCCTGCAGACTGTTCAGCAGTACGAAGAGCTCCTCCTCCAGCAAGCGCACCAGCACATGTCTGTTCCCACCACACCAGAAGGCAATCTCCCAGGCACGAACATGTCGCCTCACGGCAATGGTTTCTCCAGCTTCACGTTCCCGTCAATGCACTCGCACATGAACGGCACTCCCGGTTCCATGCGTGGAGGTCGCGGTCGTTCCTCGTCGATGCTCTCTAACGTATCCGGATTCACCGACGCTTTCGACGAGCCCGCGTCTTCAGGCACTTATGTCCTCGGTAACCCCTTCAGCACTCCAGGTCCGATCAATGGCCGCAATCGCAGTCACGGTAGTGGCAGCCTCAGCTCAGGAACCTCCAGTCAGAGTTCGAGCCAACGAGACCCATTGAGCCCAGTCCAGAGTATTAAGCCGATGATGGTGCGGAGTCCTACTAGTGGTAGTGGTAGTGGTAACAGTCTGATGAGTCCGATTGGCACTGGCAGATGAAACCGTACACGATTTGATCTTTACGTATCTTTAGGTAGTGTTCCAATGTGATATTCGCGTCCTTTTCGTGTTCTCAATATAGTTCTCGCTTTGCTCCAATTGAAGTGATTTGCGTGTGAATGAACAACTTCATGACATGATGCTCACGGATCGTAAGGAATCATAAACTACCTTTGATACCTACGTAGAGACACAGGTGTATGTACTAAGACGTGAAAAGGTAAGTAACGACTACACCGCAGGATACGGTCTTTATTTGCTCAGTGGAAGGTACACGAAGACTATCCCGCTGCCTTATGCTGACATACAAAACGCCCCCAAACATGCTGTAGTCCCCAAACCTCCCCAACTCACCCCTCAAGTGCGTTGACGCGTTGAATGTCTACATCTCCTCGATGATGGTCGACAACCTTGGACTCCGGCCGGTCTGCTCCAGGTCTTCGCTGGCATCGTCCAGTCTGCCGCCGCCTCCTTCAGCGCCACGCCTGACGTCCATATTGTCCCCTCCTTCGCCCCCATGCTCATGCTCGACTTCCTCTTCACCCTCCTGCCCTCCTTCGCTCACACCCGCAACGTTGGGAATCCTCCCATGTTTCATCCCCCAATTACCTGTTTGCATGCAGACATCTATTCCCGACCATGCGATCAGTCAACCATACCTTCATTTCCCTTGCTCCAATGATACAATCCAAAAATGAAGATAGGAAAATAAAATAGCAGAAAAGCAAGAAGTGACGTGAACTTACTAATAACTCCACCCATACCTTTCCTCAAGTCTTCCAACAGACAATTCGCTCCAGTGATGATGTCGGGCTGATCTTCCACATGGCTGATGAGTGTCCACGATGTGAATGGCGAACTTGGAGGGCCAGTGTAGAGGATCAATGCCACTCCATGTGTTGGCATCGCTTTCTCTTCACCATCGTTGCTGCTGCTGGTACTAGCAGTATTGAAGGTGCTTCTGCTATCGTTGCTACTGCCGCCATTGTTGGTGGTCATGCTGTAGGTGACTACATCGTAGACTTTTGACGCGTCTTCTGATCTTGTGCCGTAAAGAGGCGTTGCGAGACTGATGATTTGTGTCTTGATGGCAGTGAAGAGTTGCTGCTCGAGCAGTTGTGCGGCGTGTGTGGACATTGCCTTGTCTGTTGAAGTTTGTGTTGGATTGAGTAGAGGAGATTGAGGTTGTGTCTGTTGGCTTGGTCTTGGAGTTGAAATCGTAGTAGTGAGCGTTGGAAAAGGCGAGTGACCAAAGTGGAGGTGAATGTCGGAGATAGACATGGTATCGTAAGTCACCTTGAGAAACAACAGAATTCTATACCAGAGCCCTTATCTTCACTTTCGTTTGCTCATTCATCTACAGCCAAACAAGTACGATGCATCTACAAACCATCGTTTGACCAAGTCCCCAGCCTTCCACCGTCAGTCAGTCTCAAATCTCTCACTTATCCACACAGATTGCTCCGCTGCCCAGCATTCCAGCGCCGCGTCGCCTCTTTCATCTGCCCATCAGTCCAGGGCCCGTACCTCTTGTGGTCCCCATGTGGCTGATATCCCGCCTGATGACTCTCATCCACCCTACTTGCTGCACCCTCCAAAGCCATGGTCCACCAAAAGCCCCCTTCTGCCATTCTACTACCATACAGCTTCCATAGTCCAGGCATATGCACCACATCTTGCACACAGTAATCCTTGATTGCTTGGCTCAACGGTCTCTCTTCAAAGACCGCATATCTGCCACCTCGCTCGGGAGCGAAGAGCCTGACACCAGCCTCTTTAATGGCGCTACAGACTTGCCTCTGCATCGGCGTTATATTCAGGCGTGAGGCATTGTAGTCGATGGCTTTGCCCAAGCCCAGGAGGTGTTCACGGGAGCCGCGGGTAGTAGTTGCTAGCTCCATGAGTTGGATGTCGTGGATGCAGGAGAGGGAGATGGCGTAGTGGGAGAAGAGGGCGTCGGAGTCGTTGCGTACATCGAAGAAGACTTTGGGGATTGCTGTCGATTCCAAGATAGACTTCAGAGTTATGGTAGACTTTCCGGTGTCTTCACTGAGGTTTGTTGTGCTCGGCACAGTATTAAGCGCCGCAGTCACGCTTGATGTTGCTGCAGTGGCAGGCGTTGAGAATGCGCGAGCGCCCAGGGTATGGATGTCGATGAGATACACAGTCTCCTTGGGTAGTACATACAAGGTTAATAGAGCGATCGAACCATTCCTGCTGAGCTTCGCGCCTTCCAGATCGATGTACAGACTTGGTGGGGATACTGGCAGGTCGTCGAACGTTGCTAGTATGAGAGAGAGCTCTTCTGGAGTTGATATGAATACGACTGGAGGCATGATTGTGATGCGTTGGTACCGTATGTGGTTGTTATAATATTCAAGGAATGCTGTACATTTATATCAGACAGAGAGTGATTGTTTGATGATTCTGGACACGGCGATACCGAAGAAGAAGAGACGAGTAGGTGCGGGCCATGAAAGACTTATGAAGAAGGCAGCACGCCGTACTTTCCGATTCGCAGACTGCACCTAGTATTGCCTGAACATGCCTTCTGTAATGTGGTTCGACAAGATATACCGTCGTGTAAGCGGTGCTAGCCTTTTCAGAAACCGGTGAAGTTCCTGCATATCTCAACGAAACAAGGTGCCACGAAACCCAATAACTACTGACGCGGAAGTCCCATGTTTATCGATTCAGCCTTGGTCCACTTTCCATTGGATCATGGCAGTCGATATGCAAGTGACAGGAGCCCAATATGGAAAAGATGCTCTGACTCGTTCTCACCAGGCAAGATCAACTCATGTTGGGTTAGAACCTATATTGTCATTTGAATGCATTACATGTCCTGAAGTGGTGGCGCTTGGGCAATCCGGAGGAGGGGAAGCGAGGAATGCAGACAAGCCAATGAGATCCAGACCAATGGTGTAACACAGTCGCAAATGGATGTAGAACACCAGGCGAACGGATAATGCACTCGCTACTGGCTCTAGATATATGCGGGAAATTTATATGTAACGTCCCTGGGGATCAAACTTGTCCATGAGCTCCATGGACTTTTCGTACATGGTGAAGACGATACCACCACTGAGGATCAGCCGACCCAACCTTGGAAGTGCTCCTGACCAGAAGGTGAAGAGCCCCTCATCTCTGAAGATCTTGGCCACGCAGTCAAAGCTGTTCTTGTAGGAGCTCCGTGCTTCTATTGACTGCATGCGTGTCTTGACTGTGTCGATGGGCATCGTAGTGTAGACGGTTATTATGCCTGCGAGTCCTCCGAGTCCGAATGTGCTGAAGGCACCGAGCTTCTCTCCTGGGGTGACGTATGACTGCGCTAGCTGCTTGAGCGATGTGTAACTGGAGAAGCGAACGGCCGAGTTGGCTGCTTGACGTGCAGTCGTGGGTAGGAAGCCCTGGAAGAAGCCGCGAATGCCTTTTTCTTGTGCGATTATTCTTGATCCGTGCAGGAAGCCTCGCATGCGTGGGTTTGCCGACTTGCGGTCGTCAATACTAGGCGGATGAGTCAGTGAAGGTACATGAATGCGACCAAGGCTGCTTACAGTTGGGTTTTGATACTCTCGAACGGAGTCACAGCTAATAGCGACTCTGTAGCTCCTGCACCGAAACCAGCTATGACTGTCGCTGGGCCGGAGACTTTGCCTTCAGCGTCTGCCAGCATATTCCTGTACATGTCGAATGCGACAAACCCTGCGTGAAGCGTCAGACAGTCGCCTTCCCATTATTTCCACGACGTACTTATGCCCGCCTTCAGAGAGTTGCCGATGATCAAGGTTGTGCATCCAGCGTACCACTGCTTGCCGAACGGCGGCCATGGCAGCTTCTTTCCATCAGGTAATCTCCGGTTGAGTTGGGATCGTGTCTTTGCGACTATGTTGGGGTCAGGTTCGACTTGGTCATGTAAGCGGATACGATGCGGTGCGTACACTCAGCGGGGTATGTGATTGCTGGTCCAGGGTCAGTCATGAATCAGATTACGATCCGGGCGCATGCTTTACAAATCTCTACGGCACCTGCAGTTGCACCTGCCAGGATTGAGCGCATTGCGCTTGGCTTCTTCTTCTCGGTCGTTGCGGTCGCCATGACGTTTCAAGTCGAGCAGCCTCCGGTGGTGATAGGAGTAGGTTTGTACGCGCAGCAATTGCGCGGGAAAGTTTTGGCGTGTCTACGTCGCGTGCGGTAATAGGAATTCGGGGCAGTGACGTAGTATTGGTCTTGCACTCGAAACCAATCTAGATTCTTTGAAAAACAACAGGAACCACAGTTTGAGGAATCTCGACGCGCCAATGTGAACTAGATTTCCCCAGGTTCACAAAATACTGAATCAACAAGACGGCCGAGGACGGAGGTGAGCAGCGGGCCCGCATTTCGGCGCCAAGCATCCCGCTTGACATCAGCCCGCCTGCGCTTGGGCCATCGAAAAGTTACGCTTTCGAGAGCCATCTATCGCATCGCCATCTTGAAGTTCCATTCCAGTCACACGTTTAGTCCACCATGATGTCCCTACGCAACATCGCCCGCAGCGTCCCGCGGTCTGCTGCTCGTTTCTCCACCAAAGCTGTCCGCCCGCAGTCGTCGCTGCGACAGACGTCAGCTTTCCAGCCAGCATGGGCTGCCCCAATTCCCCGCCTCACAGCTTCTTTCCACATGTCAGCGGCGCGGAGGCAAGACAGCGGTAGTACGCATAGGATACATTGCAGTGAGAGAACGCGGCTAACGCGATTTAGTCAATGAAGAGCTCGTCGCGAAGATCCAGAGCGAGATCTCCATGGAGGAGGGCATGAAGGAAGACGAGGACCTCTCTGCCAACATCAAGGAGTACCTTGAGAACAGCCCTTTCGAGGTAAGACCCTGCATAACCATTGCTACTGGCCGAATGCTTACAGCCATTAGATTGAGGACAAGGCAGGCAACCAGGAAGTCGTCCTTACCCGCACATACAACGACGAGAAGATCCGAATCACCTTCACCACCGCCGACCTCAACAACAACCAGCCCAGCGATGAGCTTACTGAGGACAATGCCATGTACGACGATGCCGACATGGATGTGCAGTCTGGCGGCGCCAACACCAAGGGCGCCATCAACCAAGGCACCACACAAGACGGAAACATTCGCGTAGCTCCCGAGGACCGTGTTTCTCCCGCTGATCGCGAGGAACTTGAGGACGACTACGAGGATGATGGCCAACAGCAGGGCTTCCCCGCTCACGCTAGCATTCGCATCGAGCGTCCCGGCAAGGGTGCTCTCGCTATCGAGGCCACCGCCCAGGACGGCGACTTCCTCATCGAGGACCTCTACTACTTCCCTACCGCCGATCTGGCTGACCCCGCCACTGCCGAGAAGGACTGGTCAAGACGCGCTCTCTACACTGTATGTGCAAAGGCTGCATGTAAATCGTAACAAATCTAACTTCTAACAGGGCCCTCCTTTCAACAACCTAGACGAGGACCTCCAGATCCTCCTTGAGAAGTACCTTGAGGAGCGTGGCATCAACACCCGTCTTGCCCTGTTCATCCCCGACTACATTGACCACAAGGAGCAGAAGGAGTACATTCAGTGGCTCAACAGTAAGTTGCGCTTACATTTCTCAGTTTCAGTGTCAGGAGCTAACAGACCACCAGACATCAAGAACTTCGTTGCCTAAGCTCAAACCGAATCGAACGGGATCGTCAACGTCTGAAACCCGACTCGGACAATCCAAAATGACGCTTTGCCGGTGCTTTTACGAAGTAATAAAAGTCTCTCATGTATAAACATATAACGCATCTCAATAGTTGAGCTACCCGGGGCGTTAGCGGAAGTGTAAAATAGTTGGTGAGATTGTCCCTCATACATCGTTCTCTGACATGTGCAACACTATCTTGCAAGCAATCATCAGATCGCGAAAGGGACGATCGGAGTACCAGGCAGCTCGAGGCACCAACCTCATATGGGTTGTCTGGGTCCTTAATCTACGAGAACCACGACTTAGGTATCATCGAATGCCAAACAAACGCATATAGCGCTTTTCCACTCATCACTGTTCGAGTTATTCTCTCTGTCCGATGGCTTATCGTGTCGTTTGATCGTTCTGTTTCATTCCAAAGGTCCGTGTCGAGACAAAGACCCGGTTACGGCGCGGCGTTTGCTGGGCCAACAACAAAGCCACCGTTCGTCATCCGCGCATGCACACAAGGTGATTGTTCACTCAATGAAGTTCCGCAAAGAAGTTTGTTCGTTGTCACTGCCGTGGGTGCGGTCAAGGATACATTTCGAAACAACGTTTCGTGACTCTGAATGACGGTCTGCTTGTGATGACTGTATCCCCCTCTTCAAAGCTCGAGGATACTGCTAACCCATACCAAATCTCCGCCAAATTTCTCCAACTTTAAACAGAGAGTCGATCGATACTAGCTTGCGCGTTTGACGGACCACGATCGATAATCCTGCAAGGGAGTAGGGTCTTGCACGACGGACTCACAAGCCATGACGCGCAATACCAGCCCACGCAGTGTTGGTAACGACCCCAGTCGCATTCCATTTCCAAACCTCCCACCGCCATACACATTCAAAGGCAGTCGACCTACACAACGAGGCAACTCAAGTTCGTACCTGACCAGAGCGAACGTTTCCGACTTCACCACTACCAGCACAATCCTCGTCGGCCCTCAACTCACACCATTTCAGATCCAAACCAGCCTCCTCACATCGAAATCTTCCTATTTCCGCGCCGCGCTCACAGGACGCTTTGCAGAATCCCAAAACAACAGCATAACACTCGACGATGTCGCAGTCGACGACTTCCAACTCCTCGTCACCTGGCTCTACGAGCAAGCAGTACCGATCCCCTACAAAGACCGAAAACCAGCATACTATACCCTCCTACACGTCTACGCCCTAGCCGACCGACTAGGACTCGAAGGCGCGAGAAACGCCATCATAGACACAATAAGCGACCTTGCCGACGAAACGAACAGCGTGCTAACACCCTCCGATACACGTATCCTATACGAAGACATCCGCGAATCGGCGCCTATCCGTACGCTCGTGCTAGATCTCTTTGCTTTCAAGAAGACAGATCGATTGCTGGAATTGCATGCGGGACAGTGGCATGCAGAGTTCCTCCGCGATCTGACTGTGCATCTGAAAAGGCCTTGTGCGCAGGCTATGCAGCGGCATAGATTGCGCATGTGGTGTCCCATGTCCTGGCACACGACTCGCGGATGTGACTACTGTGGAGTTGTACTACTGCCTAGGTGCGGAGCGGTGGCTTGTGACGATTGCTGTGTGGCGTTTTGTACGGCTTGTGTTCAGGGAGGTGTTGCGATGGCGCGGTGGG